ACAAAGTATACTGTTTTTCTAGAAAACAGTTTTTATAAAAACTTTTTATTTAAAAAGTATACCGTTTTTTATAAAAAAGTATATTGTTTTTCTAGAAAAAAGTTTTTATAAAAAAAGTATACTGTTTTTATAATTTTTTAAAACTGTTTATAAAAAGTGGATAAAACTCATATATCTAAAACATAAAAAAAATGATGTCCTCTCATGTAAACTTTGCAAAAAGTTTAACATGTTACCTCTAAGAGCAATTTACTTCCAAGTTATAAAAGAACTTATGATGAAAAAATATGGACCCCTCATATTAAACTTATGCAAAGTTTAATATGTTATACCCATTTTCAATTGATAATACTTATATATAGTTTTTATACTGACATTTATGTCAATACATGCGCTTGGGAGAGCCCATGGATGGCGCTCAAGCCGCAGCACGAAGAATCGACCGGTTGGAGCTTATCAATGAATCGACTGGGTCAACTCATAGATAGGCTCCAACCTGTCGATTCTTCGGTCGATGGGTCAACTCATTGATAATTATAGGATTTGTTTATTAGCAATTATTGGACCCCTCATATTAAACTTATACACAGTTTAATATGTTATACACATTTTCAATTGATAATACTTATAAAAAAAGTAATCTTCTATTATAATCACACTAACAAAAAACAAAATAAATTAATGTATTTTAGATGACCGATGAACAATCGACATCGGCTGCCCACCCTAATCCTAACTATGCGCCCTTGACTGAAGCCGAGCGCAACAATGAAAGAGCTGTTTGGGTGACCCTAGCCCAAGTTGCTTTGTAAGTAGTTATGAACAAACCTTATGTCAATTAATTTTATATAATGTCAAATAATCCAACCAAATCTTATATAAATAAATACTATTAATTTTTCGAAGTGACAAACAAGTGTTCGAAGGCATCAAAAACATAATAGGAGGACACTTTCTTGGCATTTGGGCCACCTAGTCGGATGTTGACCCCAAGGTCCGCGAACTATGGTGGAACCTATTTAAGGTAATTTAAATGAATGTTCCCTGCATAAGTGTAGTAGCCTAATATATAACAAATGACTAATTAATCCAATTTTTTTAATGAAGGCTCGTTTTCGTTGGACTCACGCAAACGGTGCTGATATTCTTAGAGCCTACAATGCTAGGATTTCGGCCTGGCTTCGGCCCACTTTTAAGCGTGCCCGAAACCGTGCGAGAAAGCCTGAATGGGTTCCGGATGAAATGTGGGCCAATCTTTGTCGCCACTGGTCTTCGGATTCGAAATTCTTGGCCAGAAGTGAATCCGGTAAGAAAAACCGGATGTCCGAGAAGGCCTTGGAGATGCAGTAGCACGGGGGTCGCAAATCTCAGTATGCCCATAAAGAAACTCTTGTAAGTGCTATTCAAAAAACCTTACACCATTACAACCCTTGATTATACAAAATTTTCTTAAGCCTTTTTCACACCATGTAGGCTGGTCCTGAGAAGAAGAGGGTTGGAATTCTCAACCTCGTCAAGCATTGCTGGACAAAGCACGGCGAGGAGTCGGAAGCCGATCTGCCACCCCGCCTCGCTGACTTCGAAGTATGTAACATCATATTTTGTTATTTAGTAACATTTCAAATCTAAGTATGTAGCATTTAAAAATATTTTTTTAAATGCAGACGAAGTACAACGAATCCGTTGACAGGCAGCGTGCGGAGTGAGGCTTGACCCAGGAGGACGAGCTCGATTCCGATGCGGATGATGAGGCGGCCATTGAGGCGGCCGGGGTATACAAGGGTCGGGTTCCGTGCTTGGGGGCCGAGGGGCAACGGATTTTGTATGATCGAAGCACCGGAGCTTCCTCTTCTCGATCAAGGCGGGGAGAAGATCCTCGTATTGCCCAAATGCAGCGTGAACTAGAGGAGCACGAACGGCGATGGGAGGAGCAGCGGAAAAGAGAGGAAGAAACAAAAGCCCGGCTGGAGGAGATGGAACGGTTCATGCGTGCCGGATTCCAGCCTCCGCACCAGCCTTTTCCTCCCCCGTACGTATTCCACCCTGAGCAAATTCTTCAAGTTCCGCACATGGGCGGTATGGGTTTTTTCTCCAACTCCGGATACATTGGCACGCCTACGATGGGTCCGAATTTCGGATCTATGTCCTTTGATTTTTTGAGGTCATCCGGAAGAGGTAGTGGTACACCAACCCATGGAACCCGAGGAGGACCCCGTAGAGGACCCCGAGGAGGACCCCGAGGAGGACCCCGAGGAGGAACCCGACCCGACGACCCCATGCAGCAGCCCGAAGACCCCCGCGTGAACCCAGAAGAGTTTCTTGTTGATGATGATGATGAAGAAGATAATCCTAAATTTTTTCATAATGGAGTCCGACGATGAACGGACATGTAATCATCATACATTTATACGTTTAGTATTTCATATTACAATATTAAGTTTGTTGTATGTGTTTTTTTATTGTTTTAATTGCTTTACTGTTTAAAATGTAATTTTTTCTTTAAAAAAATTAGAATAATATTTTCAATAATATAATTTTTAAAATACATCTTAAGATATAATTTTTAATATAATACGCATAAAAAAAGTAAATTTTTAAAAACATTTTTAAAAAAAAAACTGATTTTTTTTAAAAAAAAAACAAAAAAATTAGTCACGGCTCTATCCGTGACTAAAGTTAATCCGAAATTATTATTATTATTTTTTTAAAATGTAGTCACGGATATATGTCCGTGACTTATTAAAATTTTCAAAATAGGAATCACAACCGCGGGCGGTCTTTTGAAAATTTTGAAAATTTGAAAACTTAGTCACGGTCCACAGCCGTGACTAATATATAAAAATAAAAAAAAATAATAGTCACGGTCCACAGCCGTGACTAAGACGTCGGAGTAGGTTTTCCGGCATGATAATAGTCACGGCTGCTGTCCGTGACTATTCCGTGACTAAATGTAGTCACGGTTAATGTGGCGGTGACTGCATTTAGTCACGCCCATTAAGTCACGGATGTAGTCACGGCTGATGACCGCGACTAACCTTTTTAGTCACGAAAAAATTACACTGCAGTCCATGACTACATCCGTGACTACGCACCTGTTTTTTTGTAGTGGTGACTGGTTTACACCGTCCAAACGTTGTCCTGGCCTGCTTAATTGATGCAGGTTTCCTGGCCTAGTACGTGGCCTGCATCTCCATAATATAAAATAAAATAAAAGAGGTTATGCATGCTTTTAATGAGAAACATACGTAGTAGATAGAATCATCATATAGAAACGTAATACTCCATATCCGATTCTTAATTAAGTTCCTAGTTTGACTTCACACATATTAAAAAATAAATTTGACTTTACTGTAGAGTGCACTGTTTGAACACTGTTTGGCACTGTTTGAACACTGTTTGACACGGTTTTGGTGTAAATCATTTGCCAAATAAGGAAAGGTTTGAAGTATGAACTTTAATATGGACCATCCCAAAGAAAAGTAGAAACTTAATTACGGGACGGAGGGAGTATAATACTACGCATTGAGAAAATTGCATTAAATAAATAAGATCAAAACATAGTCATTTATTCTCTAAATAGAATTCCTTTTGTATTTCTTTAATAGGATTAAATACTCCCTCCATCCCTATTTATTTAGCCAAACACTATTTTTCAAGTAAAAGTTTTTCAACTTTGACAGATTATATATTTATACACGATAATATTGATAATATGAAAATTATATGGAAATGTTCTTTGTTAAGAATACTATCATAAAAGTATAAATTTATTAAGTTTCACGTAAATATATTAGTTAAAATAATGAATCAAAGTTTATCATCTTTGATTGGAAAAGTCAAAGATGACTAAATAAAAAGGGACAGAAGTAGTATTACATTTTTATCCTTAATATAAATAAGTGAGATTTGCGATTTAAATCCAACAACTTTAGATTGTTCTCATTATTAGTTCCATAATTTAGTCATTGACAAGTTTAGTTTTGTAACTAATAAATCTTTGCGATTTAAGGACATTTCCCAAAAAAGTACACATTCTGACAAAAATATACCAGAAAACAAACTTGCAGGATTAAAGTTACAGGACAAAACTTGCAAGTGACTAAAGTTATGATACAAATAATGAAAACAACTAACCAAAAGTTCGCAGATTATATCGTGCAACCGGCGCACCATGAGAATGGTGCGCCCGGTTGCAAAACGACGCAGTATCGCGGCCGCCCCCTTCCCAACAACACACTCCCTCCCCCAGCTACCATCCTCATCGTAGATTTATCGTGTCCCAGCAAGTAGGAAGCGATCAACAGTACTCTTCTTCGTCGGATCTGAAGGCACTCTTCCTTAGTCGAACTACAGAGGCGGAAGACGAATAAAATGAGATAGAGCGGCAGCAGCAGACTCGAGCTTATAAAAAAGTAAATGCTGGACGGCAGTGAGATGCAGGGCGGCGCCAATGAAGATGATGGTCGAGACGGATATCTCGGATCTTGTACCGCCTGTCTAATTGAATTATCAATTCTCTAGTGAATTTGGATTTCGCCGCTACAAGTGACGATTGTCGGAGATGCTTCTGGGGGAGATGGCCGGCGATGGATTACCTAGTAGCTAAAAATTTTTATTCATCTAAAAAAGTTACATTATTATTGAAAAATTTACATTTTCATATATCTCAAGTTACATATCTATTAGCGTGAGTTACATGTGAATTTTCCTCTGCAAGTTACATCTTGCTTACACATGATTTAAATTTTTCATAATGCGAGTCACACCACAATGAGTTACATTTGAATACACAGTATTTACATTTAACAATAGCGCGAGTTACATATCAAAACAAAGGATTTACATCACGAGAAAATTGAGATAAATGCAAGCTACCAGGGGTACCGTGCTCACCGTATACCGATTGTACGGTATACGGACTCCCAAAAGTTACATGACTAAAGTTTCAAATTTCCTTATAAATAAATGACCGTGGGATCGGCCCACCTTGCGCATGGTGTGCCGATCCCAAACGGCGTCGTTTACTTTAGTAATAATTAGGTTCACAAACTCTTCTCTTCTCCGCAGCTCAACGAACTCTTCTCCCCTGTTTAACAAACTTTCCTGCGATTTTTCTCATCTCTTTTCAATGGAATTTTCGGTCGTTGATTCTGTTCTTCTGAATTCTTCAACTGAATTTCGCGATCCTTTGCCGTCCAATATACACGATATCGACATTCATTCAACCGGTGATAATAACTTGGAATTTGATCAATCGGTTGCTGTTGAATGGATTGGTAATTATTTAATGTTTTGAGCTGTATGCATTTCGTTTGTTTGTATGTGCAGTATGATATTCTATTTCTGTTCTCTTTTTTATTATTTGGCGTTGAAATATGGATTGTTGTATTCATCTTAGTTGATTTTTTGTTGTTTTAGGTTCTAGTGAAGAAGATACTTGTTCACGTGCTTCTAAATTGTTATTTCTTCTCAGCAGAGGTAATATTTCTGTCATTTGATACAATTTTGTTCTGTTAAGTTTAGTTCAATCCTATGTAACTGCTTTTTGAACAACATGTAACATCTGTTTAATCGTATGTAAGCTTTTGTGAAATTGTGTGTAACTACTTATTTAGCAGTTGTTTGTTTTGATATGTACGATTTTAAAATTGTCAGATGCATTGGAAACTGTTGATCAGGCAACAGAGAATAAATCACTTGTTGGATTTAGTGTCAAATGTGAACAGGATGCTTATAATCTTTACAACGATCATGCTTTTGAAAATGGATTTGGTATTCGTAGATACAAACAGAGGTTTAGGAGTGGAAATGTAAGTTTGAGTATGAAGTCTTATTGTTGTTGGAAAGAAGGAAAGAAACTACAAAAGGGTACTGAAAACAAATCTTATACGAAGCTAGATTATCGTTCTGATTGTAAAGCGAAGTTACAATTTTCTATTGGTGTTGATGGTGACTGGACTGTTTCGAAGCATATTATTCATCACAATCATGCTTTTTGTGCCATTGGTCAAAGACATTTGCTGAAATCACATAGAGGTGTTGATCGTGAATATCTTGAGTTTATTATGTTGATGAAGGAGAGTGGGACAAAGGTTTCCGATATTCACAGAATGCTTCAAAAGCAATCTGGAGGTGTTAGTTCTCTTGGTTTCACCAAACGTGATGCTTATAATGTTTTGGAATCTGAAAGGAGTAAAATGTTTGATGGCACTGATTCAAACACTTTGATAGGTATATTGAAGAAAAGGGCTGAAGTGGAATCTGATTTTTTCTTTGATTTTGATTTGGATGATGGTATCCTGAGTTGTTTTTTTTTGGAGAGATGGGCATATGAAATCAGATTATGATAGGTTTGGAGATGTAGTTATTCATGATACAACTTATCGGACTAACAAGTATGACATGATCTGTGGTCCTTTCGTTGGTATGAATCATCATTGTAAAAACATAATGTTTGGTTGTGGTTTTATGTTGAATGAGAAGGTGGAATCTTTTGTTTGGTTATTTCAGACATTCCTCAAATCTATGGGTGGTAAACACCCCATCACTTTCATGACAGACCAGTCATTTTCCATGGCAGCAGCTATCAAATCTGTTTTTCCTAACGCAAGACACAGACTTTGCACTTGGCATATAGATGAAAATTCCAAGAAACACATCATGTTTCTACGCAAGAAGCTGAACTTTGTTCCTTTATTTGATTATGTTGTTAAACGATGTGACACTATTGCCGAGTTTGATTTCTACTGGACTGAGTAAGTTATTTATGTGTTGTAACATATGTTTTCTTTTGTGTAACTTATGTATTGTTGTTATGTAACCTGCGTTGATTTTATATGTAACATTGTTTTTATTTTAAAAATTGGTTTCAGGTTGAACAAAGTGTATGAATGCAGTGACAATACATGGTTGAAAAGGCTCTACAGTCATAAAGAAAAGTGGTGTCCTGCATTTTCAAAGGATTATTTCTCTGGTGGCATTCTATCCTCCCAAAGAAGTGAATCTACAAATAGATCCATATCTAGAAGACTCTCAAAAACTGCAACATTGTGTGACTTTTACAAAATGTTTGGTGATGTTGTTGAGGAATGGAGGTCAGAGGAAAATGGTCAAGATTTCAGATGTTCAGAAGGCACTGTTGAGATGGTACTGCTGCAAGATAGTTTGTTAACTCATGCTAGAGATGTGTATACCCTTGAAATCTTCAAACTGTTCCAAGAACAATATTTGAAGGGTATGTCACATTTTTTTAAATTAGTAACACAGAATTGTCATGATTGCGTTTATCATGTTTGGTTGGACGGTGTAGATTTGATTAGACACAGCGTTACTTTTAATGCAAATGACAACACGGTGACATGCACTTGTAAGATGTTTTCAGAAGTTGGCATTCTTTGTAGACACATTTTGCGTATATATAACATTCATTGTGTGAAATGTATTCCTCGAGATTATATAATGTCTAGGTGGACGAAGGGTGCTATTTTGCCAAATATGGGTCGTTCTCATATTGAAGCACCTGATACTCTGTTTGGGAAAATATTGGAAGATTCTGTGTGGAGAGTTCAAATGACTAGGAAATTCAATACAATATTGGCTTCAAGTGCTAGTATTCCTGAAGCTAGGCAAGTATGTGAGCAAGGTTATGATTCTATTAAAAACTTCTTAGATATTCAGAAACGCCGCACTGCTGGAGATGAATCTGCTTCTGAATCGAGGACCATATTGGATCCTCCACGTTCTGTTCCTAAAGGTCAAAGAAATACACGAAAGAAAAGCATTGTTGAAAAACAATGCAAAATAGTCAAATCTCGCAGGTCCAAATCCCAACAAGTTTCATCTAATTCAAAACTTGTTGCCCAATCAGTTGTACAGGTATATTTATATATTTGTTAAATATTATATATTATTTTACTTTTTTATGACAATTTTTTTTTTGTGAACAGGAGACTGTTAATTGCATGGTGCCACATGGTTATCTTGCTCATCCAGTGCATGGAATGACTTCTTTGATGCCTATGTTTGGATCTCCACAAGTTTTCACTCCATACTTTTTGCATCCAAATGTTGGGAATGAAATGCAAATTTAGTAATATTTAATTAGTATGAATGTAATCTGCTTGAACACTGGCTGTGGAGTTTTGCATTTTTACATCTTTGTATGCTCGTTTTACATTTATCAGTGATATTGTTTACATTTCATATACCCTTTGTTTACATTAGTCTTTCAGTGTTACACTTGAATTGGTTTATCAATAAAGTTTTATTAAGTGAATTAATTTCATTTTGATTTTATTGCAAATTCTTTACTGTTCTTTTACACAAGTTATATCACTGGTATCAAATCAATGCACATTCCCTATTGTGCAACACATTGACTACTATGTTACATGAGTTTCATTCGTTTTTGGCTTTAGTTACAATGTCCTGTAACGTGAGTTACATTTGTTCTAGCCGTTGTTTACATCATCTGAATTTCAATCATACAAAATTCATATATAAGCAGTTTGCGTGGACAATATCTTAAACCAAACATAAAAGTTGTCCATAATACATGCATAAGCATTTTGGATTACAATATCACAAACCAAATATATAAGTTGTCCATACCATCACCACCTACTCCATAAAATGAAATAATGTTTTGACATAATTCAAGTCATCATGCCCTCCACAAACCAACAAATGTTTTGTCAGAATCATTTGTGTAGCTCCACAACATTGATATCTTACAGCGTAATGTACTCTTTTGCTTTTTTGAGAACAATGTCCCTTTGAGTGTTAAATTTGGACAATAATAATTGAGCAGCATACATTAGTCTCAACTTTTGCAGGGTTTCTTTTTGAGATTTCATTCCTTGCTTTGTAGAAGCCGGTGCAAATCCAGAATCCCATCTGTGTCCCTGCCCACGATATGTCTCCAAATGGCGTATGGCAAATACTCCACAGTCAGTATTATTGTCATTACTTCTCCATGGCATAATCAAAATTCTTGGAACCCATGTTGGTGGCAGTGAATCTGAAAGTTTCAGTTTCTCACAGAAGACTTTGAACCCCGCAACCTATACAAGAAATTAAATTAATGTATTAAAATAAAATATAATATATCATTTGTTATTTCCAGAAAAGTTGTATTGAATTTTTACCATATTGTTAAAAGTTTCAGCATATTTATTCTCAAAAGGCACCCCATCTGGAAGCATGCGGTTGTCTATCACATCAACAATGTTATTTTTTGGGTAAAAGCAGTAGATGTAGTAGTGCGCATGCTTGTGAATTGGAAACATTATCTGCAGTATACGTCAGTCATAAGTATTTCGTCTGTGTATTTTGCACAGTGAAATCAGTAACATAAAACAATACAGAATGTACATAACTCATATAAGCACTTACATCATTCAACACCTGAAGTTACATGGTATGTTACACACTTTGCAGATCTCTAATTATTTAATTCTTAAATTTAAAAAGCTTGATATATGTAGTTGCAACTTTTAACAATATACATATAAGAATTACAAAATGTGACTTATTTTGCTGTAGTTTTTATATTTATATATCCACATATATAATTTGAAATGCTAATGAAATTTACCATATCAAGATGCTTAACATCTGCTCCTGCTTCATTCATTTCCTTTTCCAATCTTTCAACCATGTTTTCAATTGGGTCACCAGAGGTATAATTAAACTGTGCCTGAACATTCAAATTGATTAAATTCAATCAGTATATAGAAACTGAAGTTCACTACTTTAATTTTCAAATTTACAAGAAAAAACTATCCATACATAGACTATGGTTGAAGCTATGAATGCACGCTTTGTAGTATTGCTTGACTTTTCTCTGTCATTCAAAATTCTTGCCCATGCGTCTATAATAGAGTTGTCTACATTTTGATCTTCAAGGGTTTGCAACTCCTCATGAGTTATAAACACACCTCCGTCATCGTGGTAGACACAATCACTAATAGAATAATATTTTTCAAACCAATATAAATTATTAATATAATGACGAAATAATATTTATATTGAAATAATAAATTATAAAATATCAGACTTTCTTACTTCAGAACTTCTTTTGAAAAGGCATAGTCAAGTACTATTTTTTCTTCCCTGTTAAGATCCTTACACAATCTTCTATTATTCTTCAGAAATGGGGATCTGTAATTCACACATTCTTCACCTAACTTTTTCAGCTTCTTTCTTCTATATGCCTTCACGTCATCATTACTTTGAAAAAACAACATATTGTTAAGTTGATTTGATTAGTTAAAAATATTAATGAATTACATAAGAAACAAATAAAACTTACCATGGATTGTTATCAGCTTCATTCTTTGCTTCAACATCAGCAACAGTCTTGTAATCTGCAGGCACCCCAACCTCTATATTCATTTCTTCATCAGCATCATTTCGATTCACTTCAGGAGTATTGATTTTCTCTCCTTCATTTACTCCTGCAGTGACATCGTCTTCATTGTTTTCACCTTCTACTGCTCTTGCGATCTCTGCTGTCTGTTCATCAGTCTGCTTCTGATTCTTTGGATTGGCATTTGCTTGAGGTTGAGACATGGTAAACTCAATGCCTAAATCAAATGAAGGCATTGAGAATTTCAGTAGTGCAGCTTTCTCAAGGTTTATAAGTGCTTCCATTACACCAGGTTCATTGAAGAAATCATCATCTTCTTCCAATGTGCACTTCTCAAACAATCTCTGATTCTCATTGGCCTGCTCTTTGCCATTAGCTTGCTTGATGAAGTAATCAGCAGTCGTCATGTATATCTTTTTCAAGATATCTGAGTTTGGGAATCTTTTTGAAATTGTCGATGGCAACTTTGAAAATTCAACAAAAGCATCACTAAACTTTTGTGCCACAGCTATAATCTCCTTCACACAATCCTATAAATATTATAATATTAGTTGTTTAATAATACATAAGATACATTGGTATTAAATTAAGTTACATAACATAGATTTTAACATTACAGACTCCTTGTAAAATCCTATAGTTATGTGACAATTGATTTAAGTTACATAAAATAGTCTTTAAGATCACAAAGTGTTGTATTAAAATTTACCTCCTTTGACAACATTTCAGCATCTTCATTTTCTTCATCTTCCTTTCCTTGTTTTTCTTCATCTTCATCTTCATCTTCCACTATTATTATTCGCTTTGTCACCTTCCCCAGACCAAAACCCACCTTTCTCTCATCTTTCACTCTCTTGTCAATTTTCTCCTTGCCCCAGATTCTAATTGTTGGGTAAGCAGTCTGCGTTATTTGGCCTTTGAATTGTACTCGGTCAAAGTAACATATCATTAGAAACAATAATGGTCCACTAAACATCTTTGATTGATTAGCTTGCCATTCCTCACATGCATCTATCAACGATCTTCTTGTGTAGTTGCACCAGTTCATCTTTGGTATATCGGCTACATTCACCAAAGATAGCAATATTTTAAAATTGCTTCTAACACTCTGGTTTCCTCTGATGAGGCAAGAGACTGTAAAGACCACAAAGTTTCTGATGAATCGGTCTCCAGAATCAGTATCTGCAACTATTTTTTCAATCATTTTTGATGTATGAGGGCTTCCTTTATCAATCCCCCATTCTTCTCTCCATTCTTGCAGAAGTTGGGTATACTCTTCAGTTTCATTCTTCGCATTCGCTTCTTGAACTTCAATCTTTCCTTTTGGCAGACCAAATACAGCTTTGACATCTTCATCTTCAATATCTAGCAGCTCACCGTTGGCAAGTTGTAGCTGTCCTGAAATTGGTCTAAAGTTCTTCAACAGAAACTCAACCAAATCTCCATAGAATCTTTCAAAGTTTAAATGCAGTAATCCACCGAACCCAATCCTTTCAATTGCTGCTTTTTTGTTGTCATCTAACAGTTTAATCAACTTTATGAAAGGGGCTGGTCCTACTCTTGTTCTGAGGTTTACATAAGGCTGCCTGTTGCCTCTCTCTACTTCTTCACATTCATCGTCTGATTCTTCAGATTCTTCTTTCTTCTTTTCTGGTGCTGCTTTTCTTTTTTTGCTTGTTGTTGGCTGATGATATTCTAGTCTTAAAATTGGTTCTTCTGTGTTCACTATCCTAGCAGCTTCATTCTGATGTTCTGTTTCATGACTTTCATTTTCAGAAGCTCTAGCACTTCTTGTATTCCTTATATGATACAAATATGACATTAAATCACATGAGTTACATACTGTCACCCACAATTTACATAACACTGAGGTGAAGTTACATCATGGACAATCAGATGAACAATGAAATTTGGAGCACATGAGTTACATACTGTCACGCACAATTTACATAACACTGAGGTGAAGTTACATCATGGACAATCAGATGAACAATGAAATTTGGAGCACATGAGTTACATACTGTCACCCACAATTTACATAACAGTGAGGTGAAGTTACATCATGGACAATCGGATGAACAATGAAATTTGGAGCACATGAGTTACATATTGTCACGCACAATTTACATAACAGTGAGATGCAGTTACATCATGGACAATCAGATGAACAATGAAATTTGGAGCACATGAGTTACATACTGTCACACACAATTTACATAACAGTGAGATGCAGTTACATCATGGACAATCAGATGAACAATGAAATTTAGAGCACATGAGTTACATACTGTCACCCACAATTTACATAACAGTGAGGTGAAGTTACATCATGGACAATCGGATGAACAATGAAATTTGGAGCACATGAGTTACATATTGTCACGCACAATTTACATAACACTGAGGTGATGTTACATCATGGACAATCAGATGAACAATGAAATGTGGACTTAGTTACAGTCACAAAACAAGGCAGAGGATTTAGGTATTATTATAAACAAGTTACATAATTTTAAGCAAAGTTAATCTGTTATTATTTTCAGTGAAATGCGACACTATATTACAAAAAAAAATTCAGTGACATAATAAGAGGCATAACAAACATATTGACCGATGCAACACTATATTATATAAATCAAAGCAGATAAAATATTTCATCTGAATTTCGAAACATAAGCAGTTGCAGATTATGAAACGAACATTGCTTTATTCACAACTTCAATGTTACATGCATGTTGATATTTAAAGTAGAATAGCAATCGCATTGTTTAATAGTTCGATTTTTGGTTATAGTTGATACCTGACAACAGATTTGCTTCTAGACCTAACCATCTTCAATCTGTACACAGATACCGAAGTAACCTGCCGTCGATGGTGTTAATCCCTCACTTAATCTCTTGTTTTCCTTCAAGGAGAGGTGGAAATGGAGAGGTGGAAGTCAGCGATGAGTTTTTGAGAACTTGCTTCGTAGAGATTTTGCAAGAGCTCTGTAGAGAGAAGAAACTGTATTTTTTTTTGAAAGGCGCAAATGAAACATCGGGAGATGGAGAGATTTTTTATTTTCGAAATTAACACCTGAGAGAATAACCGCTGGAGGGAAAAGGTGGGAGAGTGGGGCCGTTGGATTTCGTGCGCGTGTTTTTTAATTAAATGTAAACGCTGTCGTTTTGGAGTTGGGTGTATGATGCGGAACGTGCGTCGGTACCACGGTATAGCAACTCCCCTAACTCCATCTGCATATTTAGGAAATTTTAAACTCATTTCTATTTTTGGAAATCAACGTGCTTTACTCCTTTATTAGGAACTCTCCCTAAAATATCTTGCTTGAAATTGTGATAATGTATAATTGGCTAACACTTCTGTATTCTTTAGTAATTGCAATATTTTGAATTTGTTACTATACGCAAACTCTATATACACATGCTCTCTTCGATAATATTTTATTGGTCAATGACTATTGACTAATAGAATAAATCGTAAAAATGTCGATGAAAAAATCTTTCATATATATATATATATATATATATATATATATAGAGTCCCGTTCTTGTCCAGCCGGCCTGACGGGATGCTCCGTCCGGCCGAGGGCATTTCGGGCACTTCCCGGTGGAATTTTTTGATGAAATTTTTTGAGCATGTTCTTCATGAAGTCTAGTTTATCCATACCAAATTTCAGCTAAAAACTCAATCGGGAAGGCACTCAATTAATTTCTTGAAGTTAACTGGGCAGTTTATATGTATGAACTGCCCAGTTAACTTCAAGAAATTATTTGAGTGCCTTCCCGATTGAATTTTTAGCTGAAATTTGGTATGGATAAACTAGACTTCATGAAGAACATGCTCAAAAAATTTCATCAAAAAATTCGATCGGGAAGTGCCCGAAATGCCCTCGGCCGGACGGCGGTTCCCGTCAGGCCGGCTGGACATGAAAAGTCCTCTATATATATATATATTTCTAATAGTCATTTTAATAAGTTAATAGTACCTTAATTTTTTTTGGAAAAAGGCGGCTTATATTGATAATAAAACATTCAGCAAGGGACAAAAGAGATAAAAGAACACTTCCAGCCACCGACCCTCGAACCAGTCGGAGAACCAACCACCCTAAAAAGAGCAATATGATTCGCTGATCCTATAACGGGTCTACATGAGCCTATCATGACCAAAGCAAAATCCTCATCACCCCCACCTAATGTAAGAGTCTGACTGAAATAGAAAAAGTAGAAGACAACAACGACATTGTTCATGCCTAAGAAACTCAAAAGCAGTAAAACGAAATTTAATAAAATAAACCGGCAGAGCAACCAAATCCATGCTTCAAACATCATCCTCGACGGTGGCTTAGGAGGGGGACGGATCATCAACCCTTCATCTTGAAACATTCCCCTAGTCGCACAATTTCTCCATGGCGGCGGTTCGGGCGGTGGGCGGATCAATATCTCTTCGTCTTCTTTCGCCCGTATCAGATCGCCGCCACCGGCAAAGCACTTGATATTGTTGCCGGGCATCGCAAACCTCTGCAATTTCAGTTGAGGAGCCTCATCTTTTTGTGGTCTTCAATCGGCAGGAGCGCCGTAGGGAATAGCCGAGCCGAACTGTCTACGACGGAGCAATAATAGCCGCCGAACCAGCCTCGCTACTCCAAACTTCCACGCCTAGCGGAAACAGCCTTGACTCGGCTGCACCCTGTCACGAACACAAGATAAACACTGAGACTAAAGCCCGGAGGTCGACCATCACCTTCGACGGCATACTTTCAAACCCTAGAAACCTAGGGAGTCGACAACTTTTTTTTTTTAGAGAAAATCACATTTTTATAAACAACACTTATTTTTAATAGTAGTAGTACGTTAAATGAAAAGCTAAATTCAAATGAGAAGTAAACTTATTTCAATAAATAAGAAGGTAAGAATTGAAGTACGTAGTATATGAGAAGCTATGACATGTTTTTTATTTGTTTAACAATAAAGTACAGCAGCTAAATTCATCGAATGTATAGACGTTTGAAATTAATTGTGTAGGTAATTTATTAATTTAACACAGATAACTTCTCGCTAGATATATATAGAATAAAGGTAAATATTCAATACCTAAAGTCGTCTGCATCTAGTCAAA